GAATACTTACTTCTACAGTGATGTGGACTTGCGTCAACACACCACGAGGGATACTCGGTGGATCTAATCAGAAGGCGGCGCCGACGAGGTCTGGCGACTATGCGTTAGCTTATTCAGCTAGCCCAATAAACCAAGTTGTATTAGCAACTGTACTACGATACAAATAAAGGCTTACCTAGCCCAATAAACCAAGAGGTTGAGATGGGGCTAGGTAGCATCGAAGGGGGTCTTTATATACTAGTCAGGGTGCGCACGGACCAGGCATTACATAAGCGACTGGTGCTACGGCGACTGCTAGTGTCTAGGGGTTGGGGGGAGCCGAGCCGAGCGAAGCGAGGCGAGGTGACGTTGCTGAGGTGAGACTGGAAGGCGAAGGTCCGAACTCTGTGAGGAGTTCCAGAGGCTTTCGTGGTGACACTCATCAGCGCATTCCAGGAAGTACTTATACCTTGCGCCATGGGACCCCGGAGGAGGGGCAGTACCATGGACACCGCTGCCGAAGCCGAAGCCGTCGGACGGGTGCGTAATGGGCATTATGACTAGTCGCTCTGTGATTGGCCGGCCCTCGGCGAAATCGGCGGACGTTGTCATTCTAACCTTGTAAGAGGCTCGGGCATACTATATGGGGATGGTCAGCAGGACCAAATTGATGCGACTTAAGACCGGTTAGCGCGGTCAAAAGATGACGTATGTATGACGTCATAGTCACGTGGTGGATCCAGCCCATCAGGGGACCGCCCGCTGATGCGCCGTTGAGCGCATCACCGACGTCGGCCCGACGTTCGTGGAGCGGGATGATCCGCCATCACTGCCCGCCGCCATCAGGCGCATCAGATGCGCCCAACAGCCGCCGGTCCGTTTAGCGCCTCGGTCGGCGCTAAGACTGGGTCACGTGATTTAGACGCTTTCCTACCACGATCACGTGGTCGTACTTCAGGCTCCGTCAGGCGCTTACGCATCTATCTCGTATATAGTATTTAGCCGGTTAGGGTTTAGGGTTATGAGCACTTGTAGGGGTCGGTAGGGGCCGTTTCGAGCGCCGACCCCTGCCCTTGACGCTGGCTGCTACCGCTTGACACTCGCTTCTGACGCAGTGCGTGGCTGCCAGTGGCGACTGCATGTGTGCAGAGAGGCGGCCAAGTACATCAGAGTGGCTGTGGTCAGCATGCTTCAGAGAGCGACCGCCAGTGGCAACTGCGTATTTAGTGGGGAAGCAGCAGAGTAGTTGTGGTCAAACCTCGCCAGCGATGTGCAGATGCCAGTGGCGACCGCACGTTGGCAGGGAGACATTAAAGTACCTTTGGTCATAACCTTGCAAATTGGTTAAGGTGTCCAGTGGCGAACATATATGAGCGAAATTAGTCGAGCAGCATTAGCCAATCTTACGCTCTATATGGCTGCCAATGGCGACCACATATGTGTTTTGTTGTTGTTTGTGGGAAAACAGCACAAATAGCTTTGGTCAACCTGGCGGGCTGCATGTGGCCGCCAGTGGCGACCACATATGTGTTTTGTTGTTGTTTGTAGAAAAACAGGACAATTAGCTTTGGTCAACCTGGCAGGCTGCATGTGGCCGCCAGTGGCGACTGCACATTTGCAGGAAGAAGTTAAAGTGCCTTTGATCATAGCCTTCCACACTGCATAAGGTGGCCAGTGGCGACCACATACATGCGGAACGAGCAATGTAGTATTAGCCAATATTGCAATCTACACATGCCGGTGGCCTAATCACGAAGATAGCAATCATGCATTTCAATGGCTGGGAATAGAAATATTTATGTCTTACATGCGAGGTCGCCAGCAGCGGACACTCAGCTGGCAGCGAGTAAAAGCACGCTCAAATGACTAATGACGAACATCTCGCCATGCGGACAGCAATGTGCGTTGTGCATTAGCTATGCTCTGAATGGTTGGCTAGTTTACACATTGCTGACAAATAATCAGCCACTGTCTGCAGATTTGCTCCAGGAGTCCCATAATAGCATTTACCACACCAAGAAACATGACGATTGAATTTATGATTTATACATGATACAATTCACTCCTCGCATTCCATGTGCCCTGTCTCCACTGAGTCCACACTATCGTCGAGCGCAGCTTGATATGCCGTTGCTTCGGCGACGTCTGGCACTGCTGCAGCCTCGTTAGACAGCGCTCGCTCAGCCTCCCAGCTAACAGACGGTGACGGAGTGCGGGGGCAGTAGTAGGTGGGCGAAGGAGTGAGGCTGATTGTCAGTATCTCTGGAGAGGGAAGAAGCCACCGGTTGTCAGCGCCCTGCACTTCTTCTTCGAGCTCGGCGAGGTACAACAACGCCGCCGGATGATCGTTGTCGTTCGTGTGCTCGATCTCCTGGTCGCATTCGTTCGCGTGCTCGATCTCCTGATAGAAGTCCTGTGCAAACTGGGACCCCATCGGAGGGTCCTCGGGCAAGCTCTCTGGTTCCTCGTAATAACCCCCCCAAGGCAGCTCAAACCTGGGCAGATGGCCCACAGAAGCGACGTGATGCCGCCAACGCTGGATGCGAGACGTGGTCTCTGGAAAGAAGTTGACAGTGAAGGAGTATTGTGCTACTATCATACACACTTACCCATCATGGACACTGAAAGGGTGATATTAGTTAAGACGGCCGCTGATGCTAGCGCGACGTAGTAAACTTGCCTGCGAATTCTATAAGTGGGGTGATAGGCATCTTGGTGGATGTAGTGGCTGCAAAATTTGAAAGTGGATGACAGACTTTTATACACTGGATGGCTGATGGCAGATAATGGAATTCAGCGTGATTTCACTTGTGGCGAGCGCATTGCGCTCATAAAATCGCACTAGAACCAGCATACCTCGTTAGATCGGGGCCACAAGCCCGACATCAGCCCGCCCATTTATGAGGGTACGTAAGGGCGTGGAATCCGGCAATAGTAACGTCGATGGTGAAACGTAGCCGCGAGGGATTGCGAGCCCGGAATCGATACACATGATTCGCCCGCCAGTGGCGACTACATGGCCAACTGTATTGTTCGGCACACACGCACCGGTAGTAGAGAGATTTTGTACACGCCCTGTGATTGCCGATGTCAGCAGTGCACGCATGCTGCAAGAATCAATACATTTCCGTGCGGTCGAGTCATTGTGGGCCCCACTAGTGGTGGCGACGGCTGATTGACGCTCGATACCAGTCGCCGCTGGCGGGTACGTTGTTCGATAAACTGCGTCAGAGTCAGTCATTGCGTCCGCGTTTTGCCCTTTATAAGCTAGCACGGATATGAAACGCGGGATCGTCCCATAATTACCGTAAGCGAGTGTGTCAGGTGGTTTTGTGGTGCACCAAGGTGAGACACCCGCCAGCGGCGACCGCCTCGTGCCCGGGAAACTGATTGCCTCTTCCGGACATCTGCACTGGCGGGCGTGCTGCTTTAGGGGAGCAATACTATTTTGGCATGCAGTATACTCGAGCAGGTGCTATACGCAGCAGTCACCGTCTATAACGGCCGCGAGAGTGTCTGTTTACATGGGTTGTATCGAGCGGACGACATTACCCGCCACTGGCGGGCAGAGTTCACCACCTGCGTAGTGTTTCCAATTTGCAGTTCTAGCACCATCTGTGCATAGCATTCAGTGAAACGTAGGTTATTGCTTGACACAAGTTTGCTTCAATTGATGAGTTATGATAGATTAGTATATTTGTAAGTGCTTATCTAATGTTGTCAGTGTTCACAAGGTCAGTAAAAGAACGGTGTAATGATTGGCAAAGTTATATCCGCGTTAACAATATGAGCTGATACTTGACAGGCATAGTACGGTAAAAGTAAAAGAAGGCTTTGCGTAAAGTAGAATGGGTATAAGCGTGGTCAACGAGCATCAAACTAAATGGGGTGGCAGAAGCTAAGTGAATAAGTGGGAGAAATATAAAGGAGTGTGAGAGATATGAATAAATAAAGTTTGAGTGCTCTAGGTAGAACATGTGAGACTCGAATAAAAGAGATAGAAACTGGAGCATACCATGCTAAGCGTTATTTATTTGAGTATGTTAGAGTGGCAGAGACGCAGGCGCAACACCAAACGCTTCCATGTCAAAGAGGTCTCCTGCGAGAACAAACATATCATCGGGGACAGAGGGTACGGCCGGCTGTGGGGCTTGTGGGGGAGGAGGAGGAAGCGGGGTATGCTGGAAGCCGCAAGGTCGTTCGATGTATTGCTCGCAGGCGGCTGCAGCCCGCTTCCATGCCGAAGAAGCAATGGCAGACGGCGGCAAGATGTCGCAAATGCGGAAGGTGAGGAACACCGTGAAGTGTCGACTGCCGTGTGAAGCGTGGACCTCGGCCGTGATATGGGTTTGCCAGAGGACCCGGAAGCGAACCACCTGCCCAACGCGCTCTATCCACTCGCGCCGAGGGCCAGAGCGGCGGCCCATCCACATGGATATAAAGTCGCCTTCACGCAGAAGACCGTCTGCAAAGTTGTTCAACTTGGCACAGACGTCGCCGCCTTCAATGGGATGGCCCGCGACATAAACACGCCGGAAACCAGGCCCCGACGTGGTGGAGACGTCGGATGAACGCGCTCGCTGGTTAAGATTGCGAGAGTTTATGAAAACGCGAATGGCGTGATATTCGATGAAGTTTGTGCTTTTGATCTGACGGGCGACATCAGGCCACCAGTCGAAAGTGGGGCTGTCAGTAGAGTCGAGCCAGTTTGGGTGTCCGTCGCTGGCGGAAGGAGCGAAAGGTGACGATTGAACGAGAGTGAGCAACTGCATAGCTTTGAACGTGAGATAATGAAAGGCGGGACCAAGGATGATCGTGGAAGGACAGCATGCGACAAGGCTCAATTATATACATAAGCAGGAAAGGAAATTAAGGGCGGGTGTGATTGGCGTAATGAGTGGAACACGACAAAAAATGCGAAGCGCGGCGGTGGCGTGCTACTAGCGTAAAGTATTGAGTTCGTGGTGGCGCAGCGGCTGATGGGATCGGTGATAGTGTGCGAATCTCTGTACACTGTTGAACTGACAGGCGCATATATTAACAGGCACAACAAGCCTGATACAGTGCTTGTTGTTGTCATTGTTGTCGTCGTCAACGGATAAAACTGCACAATAGTCAGCTCAATCAGTTGTGCCTACTAGTGCCGACCACAGGCAAGTGGTAGAGTGCACACCAGCAACATGATGGTCGCCAGTGGCGAGCATCATGTTGCTGGTGTGCACTCTACCACTTGCCTGTGGTCGGCACCAGCGGACACACTGGCTGTGAGCAGACTAATGCGCAGTTTTATCCGTTGCATAGCAATAACCTACGTCGTAATGTAAGTATTTATGGCAAAGTCAGAACGTAAATATAGCGTAACGTAGTCGCAGCAAGTAACAAGGACGTAGCGCCACACTTCATTGCGCCCAGCCGCCATTGGCGGGTGCCTGACTGGTAATGCATCATTCGGTATCGTTGTTTTATGTGTGATAAAAGGAGATTTAAGCACATTTAAATATTTATGTATAGCCAGTCTCACAGGAAAGATGGCCATTTCCTACGCGAGTGTGCGAAATAACAAGCACGCAACATGTAACAGAGTGTGCCGGTAACGAGCTTCATTCGTGCAAAATATCAACGCATCGCTCCGCATCCACTGCCCGCCACAAGCGACCCGTCTCATGTCGCGCGGACTGGCGCCAGAAGAAGCGATTGAGTGCGCAGCCGCCACTGGCGGGCACATAAGAGGCTGGCGCACTTCATGTGCAGGAAACAGGGAGGAGGCCAGTCGTGGCTGTGCAGATCCAGATTGAACCAGCGCCGGCCGCCTGCCACTGGCGGGTGTACAGGCGGCCGACGTTCCACCGCAACTGAACGACTTAAAATGGAATGAGCGGCGTGATGTGACGACAAAAGCAGATGCGCAGCGATCGATAGTGCATCATGGTCGGCTTCTAGTGCATCCCGAAGCCTTGGCACGATTTTACGGAACGACTAGCGGACAGCTCGTACGTAAAGCTGGTCAAACGGCGTCCAATGCGAAGCTGGCGATATGGCTTGTGGTGACGGTGTACCATACCCGGATGTTTTATATTGCCCGCAAAATCAGGACGTAATCGAAATGATAATTGACCATGGGCGTATATATATCGACGTCCCAGTGTCGGATGCGGCCGCAAAACCTCCTCACAACAATGGGCGCGACTTGGGCATTGTTTCTCGTCTTGGCTTTCCCGTGGTCAAAGGAATTGTGGCAAGAGGTGTCCGGGGTGACAAGGCCGATCTGGGACGACAACCCGGAGCCCACCTTCGGCATGGCTCTCACCGACGAGGAGAGGGAAGAGGTGCAAGACTTTGTGCGACGGGTACAGGCAGCCTCAGGCAAGGAAGCGGCAGAGTCAATTTTCGGGTGTCGGTCGAAGGCGCACACCAAGAAGGAAGCGGATAGGAGAGCACGCAAGATTGTTCAGACGTGGCAGAAGAACTTGTTCGTGAAGGGCAAGTGGAAAGTCTCGAAGATTGTAGGGGACTATCTCGTTGAAAACAACTACGACTACTGGGGGCAGCTCAACGGGTCGCGAACACCTCGCGATCTCGATTCGGTATGTCTTTAGCACTTCCTGGCGGTATACGGCACTTACTGGTTTGAACTCGCAGGCATCTAGGGCGTTATCCGCCACCAGCATGTGCTATGTTGTAGCGCAGCCGCTCTTGGAGAAGCTGGTCGACGAGCACGAGTATATCGGGAAGAGCATTCCGCCCGCCACAGAGCAAGAGTGGCTGATAACCTTGCTGTCGATTGTTTACTCTGGTCAGAAGTCGACAGTGAAGCGCACGTTGAACAAGATCCAGGCACTCGAGAAGCGCATCGAGAAGGACGAGCGTAGTACGTCGCTTTGAGTTAGATATACCCCTTCTAACCTGCTGCACCAGGCCTTAGGACAGATCTCTCCCTGACGAAAGGAGGAGTAACGAAGCTTTTAAACAGCATAGCAAGCGGCTCCAAGCAACTGCTCGAGTATCGCATGAGAACCCGTAACGAGGAAGATGCGAGGCGGAACGCCACGCTCGCGGGGACGTTGGGCGATATCCAATCGTCTCTTGCCGGTCAACGGAGCGGCAGTAAGCACACCAAATACTGCCATATGAACTGCCTAACCGCATGCGACGATAGACATCCCTCCGGCTGTCCATCGCCTCATATATCAAGTGGTGGACACGTCCGCGTTCCTCGGCATCGAGAGCGCTATCAACGAGACGCTAGAGCGTTATCGGCAGGGTGATTCCAACACTCAGTTTCTTCCTGCGGAGCGCTCCATCATCCCCGACTGGAACCTCGACGACGAGCTCAAGCATCTCACGGTGAAGAACACGCAGCAGCTGTGGACAGATTTAGGCATCAAGGACGAGAAGCTCGTCCCTCTCGCCGAATGGCGGGATCCGTATCTTCAGTTCAACAGTTGGCAGAATCCCGACGAATGCCCCGAAGAACGCCGCATTCCCAGCAATCTCAAATGGCACCAGGTCGTTGGACTTCATCGCTTCGCTGAGTCGATGTTCACCGGCACTAGCGTCCTCAACATGGACGAAGTTGGGGTCGGCAAGACCCTCCAAGTTATCGCCCTCATCGCCTACCGCATTATGTCTATTCAAGCTCTCGATCATGGCGGCGAGTATCTTGGAAGATTCAGTAAGTGACATACCGCTATTTTGTGGCCGCTGTCGGCGGGCACGTCACTGTTCGACGAGTTTTTTGTTGAACTGCGACTCTTCGAGTGGCCGCCAGTGGCGGCTGCGTGCAGCTGACGAAGTTGTCGTTTGCACAGCAAGTCCCCGCCGATGAGTGCTTAGTTGGCACAACGCGGCCGCTGCCGGTGGGTTCCTCACTGGCGCAACGCGGCCGCTGTGGCGGATGCTTTGCTGGTGTAATGCGGTCGCTGCTGGCGGGTACTTTGTTAGTGTCACGAAATCCACACAAGATTTCTTTCGGCTGCTGTGTCGTGCTGTGTCGTGCTGTGCTCGCCGTTGGCGGGTGAGTTCTCTGTATTTTTTCGTACTGAATTGTTCTTGCAGAGAACTTGAAGCCTGGCACGCTCAAGGACGGGGCCGTCCTCATCATCGTTCCGCCCACGCTCCTCAACCAGTGGTCAGACGAGATGCAGCGCTGGTTTAAGTACGGCGCTGTCGACCTCGTGAAGTACGAAGGCTCGTATGATCACGATGCGCGCAAGCAATGGTGGAAGGCGTTCGGCGAGAGGTCTTCGAAGATGTACCAGAGGGTTATCCTCACGACTAGACAGGTACGTTGTCAATTTCTTTGGTCGCCATCATAGACTAGTAGCTAATAACCACACGAGGCTCTTTTTGCGGATGCGGATGCGGCGTTAATGGAAAAGACCACCGACATCAAGAAAAGCTATCTGCCAACCCTCTACCACGCCGAAATCGGGTTCTACGTCGCCGACGAGATCCACGACATACGTAACGCGGGCAAACGCTTAAATGCCTATATCGCCCTCTCAAGTCACGTCGGGTACGCGATTCTGCTCACGGCGACGCCGATGGTCACTCGGCCGCAAGTGAGTTCCGCATCGTTTTTGATCGAGTCGGCTATATAACAGATTACTTTAGGACCTGCTCAACATTGGCAAGATTATGCGCATTTCTGCCTGCAACGACGAGGCCATCGCCAGGGAATTTGCGCGAAAGATCGCCGCTGGTAAACGTGCTGATAAGAAGCGTCGGAAGGCAGAGAAAGACGATCAGTCTGCCGTGACCGTCGAGCGTGCGCAAGGCAAGGTCCCGTCGGATTCTGAGGAGCCTAGCGCGCTCGAGGAGGTTATCAGAGAGTGCATCGAGCGGCTCAAGAAGATCTTCAAGAGCTACGCGATGCGACGCACAATCCAATCTCCTGACTACGACGGCAGGCCAATTTGGGGCGCCGACCCACCACTAGACATCTTCGTATTCCTCAAGCCGAATGGGCGCGAGACGGAGAAGATCGAGGAACTCGCGGCGGAGGCGATGGTCGTGTCCATGGAAGGTTGGGAGACTGTGAGTGCCAATCTTCAGGACCTGGGCGCTCGCTTGTATATGACAGTCACGCCCTTCACCTTCACGCTGCCCGCCAGTGGCGGCTACCACCGTATTGCTGTTTACTGCCGCACACGCAGCGCGCGGTTGACCACTGGCAGGCACATGCGCTCGTGGTCAGCGGTGGTCGCCGCTGGCGGGCAAGGTGCTGTGCTAGCACATTATGCGCTTGGTGCGCTGTTCCTAAGCGCAGTTCACGGCGGAGCATGTTTGCCCCCGCACTGTCTGCCACGCTGCGCTCTTTCTTTATGCTAAATTACTTTCCACAGAAATTCTATCTTGGGGTACGCAAGATCCTCACCCATCCCGATTATTACGAGTGGGACAGGATCCAGGACACCACAGACGAGCGACGAGTCGCGTGGCAGGGCCCGGCGTCTCTGGAGGAGTACCAGGCCAACCCGTCGACCAAAATCGACGCGACCGTGGAGATCATTCGGCACCATCTGCAGAATGCCGGCGCTGCCCCTCTCGGTAATAAGTGGCCCGATGGAGACAGCATCACGAAAATCGATCCACTGTGGCAGGTTTACACAAACGATCTCGTCCCGCGTCGCAAGATCTTCGTCGATCGGTTCGCTCCTTCGTTGTCGCCCTCCACCAAACCGACTGAGACCGCGCCAGCGCCGGCCGAGAGTGCTTCCGCAGCAATGCCCTCTGAAACGGGAGCAACCTCTCCGAAATGCTACGAAGCTGATCCGGCAGCTGAGCCTCTTTGGGACACAGACACGCCTGACAAGCACGTCGTCTACGTGTTCTTCGCGGCGCAACAGCTGCTGCTTAAAAAGGTGCCTCGTCGTGCTCCGCCAGGTCACTGCGTTTGCTTATCAAGTTTAGGTACTCGAGTGGCACGGTATCAAGGCCTTGACGCTGTCTGGTGGTATGTCGCCCGGCAAGCGAGCTCAAACCTTGCGAGAGTTCCGCGAAGCAGCGGTGCCCATGGTTCTTATCGTCACGTCGGTCAGCATCGTCGGGTTGAACCTCGACTGCGCAAATATCGTGACGTTCTTGGTTAGCGACAATCTTGCGTATTAAACGTTTACTGATGACTCTTCAGTCTACCATGTGGTCCGGTCAGGACGATCGCCAGTTTATAGGCCGCGTCTGGCGAAATCCACAGGTCAAGCCCGTCCTCGTCTATCGTCCACTTGCCATGGAGACAAACGAGAAGAACATGAGCAACATCGCGTTCGGCAAGGAGGAGATGCATCGGGCGTTCATTACGCCGACAGCCATTGGTGAGTGCATTGTACTTCTCGATCTGGCCCATGTTTTTAAAACAACAACATTGTACGCTGCGTAGAGAAAGCCCTCGCTGAGGTTATGGTGCAAGTGAACGAGAACGAGGACGCGGAGGACGCTGTAGAAGCGGGGGGCAAGAAGACCAGGGCCAAGAAGGCCAAAAAATCACCGGCCGTTAAGGCAGCGGCCGCTGGTGGCGACCGTCCTGCTGCTTCAGCGGAATCGTCCAAGGCGGCCGGGCGCAAGAAGGCCAGTCAAACAAAGCCGTCCACCGAAGAGCAAGCCGCCGGTGGCGACCAGATTGCCACTTCGCCGCAGGTCGCCCCCGAAGGCGATCAAGCCGGCTCTCCCGCACTGGGCCGTCAAACAACGCTGCCTGAACACGATCCCAGCGACCGCTCGATGCTCACCCCACCCAGCGCGGTGATTCCCGAGCGCGAAGCAGTCGCCACGGGCGGCCACTCAACGGTGGGGCAATCTGGCGAACGCGAAGCGGTCGACATTGGCGAGCAAGAAGTGGCCGCCACTGGCGACCACTCGACGCCGGCTAAGGAACAGGGTCCATCGTCTAATGAATCTCGTGCGCCCAACGAGCCGATCGTCGCCTCAGACTCTTCGACCTCTCGTTTGCGTCCGGCCGCGCCCGCTCAGGAGGACGTCGAGCGAAGGCCCGAACAATCGCTGTTCCCCCCAGCCAAGCCGCCCCTCCACGTATACAAACGTCTTAACATTGCGAAGGCAGGGCCGACGGTGCTCACCTTGCAGCGTGAGGAGAGCCCAGAGGAGTCCTTGGCGCTGAAAATGGGGCGCCTGGCGTGTGAGTACAACGATTTATCCCCAAGCTACCGAAAAAGCTTACAACGACAATAGCGCCTAGTCAACCAGCCGCTCGCCATCAAAGGGCCACGACGATCCCCGCCAGGGTCGTCGAAACGCCAGACGTCAATATGGAGGTGGAGGACGATATACAGCCTTTCGACACGCCTGAGGTCGATATGCATCCGAGCGTCGAGGATATCGACTCGGAGCATTTTACGTCCTCGTCCTTGTCTAGCATCAGTAGTGAGCCTCCCCCACCCAAGAAGGTTCGCTTGGGCGATCCCGCTTCCGCGACTCGGACAGTTGGGGGCTCCGATGCGTTCGGCGGCGCCAGCGCCGCTGTCCAGCTTCAACCTCGGCACAAACCGGTCGCGGTGCGTCCCGAGGTTGGCTTCAGTCGCTTGCCTGAGGTTGGTAGCACGCGACGTCATCCTGAGGGGTCTCGTCCCGCCGAGGAAGCGTCCACGAGCGGCGAAGCTCGAGCCGACACCGTCCTCAAGACAAAGGCAATCAAGGCTGCCAGGACTGCCAAGGCCAGGGCCGCGAAGGCTGCGAGGCAAACGAAGAACGCCACGGTGGTCGCCGAGTCCGAACCCGAGCCTGCCGAACCCACCACAGCTCCCGCTAAGAATAAGGGCAAAGGTCGGGCTGAATAATCCGGTGGTCGCTCTTGATCGTCGCCGTGCCGCACGTAGAAACTCGCGCCCCCAGGGGTTTTCTTGTACTTTGTAAAATTTCGCGCAAATATTATCGCTGTCTCGCAAGTAAACCGACCGTGGCATGGTGGCGAGGATGCCCGCGCTAAGACAATTCTCGACTCTGAGCAGCACGCCCGCCACTGGCGGGTGCACCTGCCGTACCATCGAATGCGCTTATCAGACATGCCGTGATCTATATTACCTGCGCTTGCCAGATGCCCCCGCAATGCGCCTTACATTGGCGGGTGCGATCGTGCGCTAGTCAGGATTACCGCAATGTGTGTCGGCCGTGCTTGCCAGTGGCGGCCGTGATGCTATTGCGGCGCGTCCGCCACTGGCGGGTACCCTTGCCAGCGGCGGGCACGACGCGACTGTTCGATTCGAATTTGGCTTCTGCTGGAGATGTCGATTTGTTTGCCGTCGTTTGTGTTTGTGCCATTGGGCTGATTTTCGTACACACAAAATCGAATCTGTACTCAAGCATCTAATGCATTCGTGTTGCACCTGCTGCTGGCGCGCGGAGAATTTTCGATAACACCTGGAAAGATATTGTTTCTGAAACTAACCTCGAAAATAACGTACAACTTGACAGTTTGACTAGTTAACTGGTAACTAGTATTAACACAGAGAATAAAACAATCGTGGTTTGAGCCCACGACACGTGGCTTCGATCGCGCGTCGTCATTTCCTATAGCGAAGTGCCCGCCACAGGCGACCGTGAATTTTACTGTTTACTGTGCCGCAACTGGTCTCAAAGTCACTGTTTCCAATGATATTCCCGATCGCTCGTTGAACGCTATCGTTGGTGCTGGCCCCTTGTGGTTCGACGGCAGTACAATATACTGCCCTTTGGCTTTTCCCGTGTCCCAAATTCTGTCGCTTGATGACCAAGGAAGCCATTGGAGCTTTTGAAATTGTGCCAGCAGCTGCTGGCGTATGAAGTTCTGGTCTTCTTCTCTGATCACTTTGGCTGTCAATACCAACCATCGCATCCAGTAGTAACATGATCCGTAGTGCTGTGTCCTCTGTGGTCGCTTGCTTTGCTGGACTTTGTTGGGGAAAAACCGATCGAAGAACACCGCATCCCAGACATCGTGGCTCGCTATCTTGATGAATGCGCATTCAAAAGGAATACGCAAACCAGTGTACAGCTCCTCGGTTGCGGCTTGTCGTTCATCGACTGTCAACGTGCAATAGGGGCCTTGCTTAGAGTGCGGAGCCACGCGAACGATATCCCGTAGAAAGTCTTGCCAAATTGCGTTTACTTCCCCCTCTATCCCTCCGTCTTCGCCAACAACAGCCGCAGGAGCATTTTGCGCCGCAGCGGCTCCTATCGCGCCAGGGGGGCGATAAACCCTGATTCCTTGCTCCTGTAAGCCAAATGCGATATCCCTATTTGGCGAGCGCGGCCGCGGTGGCATGCGAAGTGTGAGTTGAGTACGTCGGGGAATGGCTGTGGGCTCGTTCCTTGCTTTCTTGGTTGCACTTTGCATAAATAGAAACTCCAGTTCGGCAAAGGTGTTCCGGTTATAGATCATCGCGTAGATCCTTGCGTCGAGTACGCGCGCCGCAGGAAGGTGGAAGACACGTTCGGTATATTCAACGGCTGACACGAAATATAGTCCGCGTTCCTCCATTGCAGGTTCCATCTGGCCCTCGGCTACCATGTTCTCCATCTCGATGTCTTCAGCCAGGTTCTCCTCGTCGGTGGACTCCCAGTAGGCTGCAGTTGACACAATTTCCGCATCCCATCGCTGCTCTCCTGGACGAAATATCAACGAATTTTTGATCCATATGCATATTGCGCCTAGACCCAGCACAGGTCCCATAGTGCGCAACCGGGGCTGGGCGTTGTCCAGTAATAGGAACACATATCGTAGCGCTGCAAGTCTCCAGTAGCGGAACATCCTGATATCGCATTAAAAAGACGGTTCCACAGGAGTAACAAACATCGATATTCAGCTCACCACCAGTCTGTAGGATCAAATCCTACAATTGAAGACTCAATCAAGTTTTGGGTAATGTCTCGCAGTTTGTCGGAGACCAGGCTGCCAGGAAACAGCTTTATACGAACTTCCATTCGAGCAGCGCCTTCTTGCTTGGTTCCTCTTCGACCGCCGCAGATATCGTAGAGTTCTCCCAGCTTCTCAATGTCCGACAGAAAGGATTTTAGACGGTGAGGGAGAAGGTCTTCAGCTCTATGTCGACGCCATGAGCCATCGTGCATTTGATAGGTTGCAGATTTGTCTGTTGTGTAGACGTTGACGTATCGCACGTAATCTTGAGCACCTACAGTAGGTACCTCGACTCGAAAGCCAGACAGGTCATAAAGTAGTGAAGAGACGTCGTTCTTGAAATGTCTTCCTTCCAAAGTGCGTTGAACTTGCGCTGGCGTTGCAGATGGCAGAGCGTATTGCAAAACGTCTTCATGACTGCTAGTCCGCCATTGCAGCACCAAATCCTCCGCCCGAATCTCCACGCCAACATCGATGTACCACTCGCCTCCAACATCCGCAAGTATCTTGTCCTTATCGAAAATATCCATGGATAGGTTGAAAGCTCTGTCGCAATCGCCAATATCTCCTGGTTCGTGCATGGTTACTCCTTTGCTTCCTCGCAGCTCGTGCAGAAAGAAGCAGCCTTGAAAGATGGGATGCTCCTCCAGGTTGGTGCGGAGTGCAGTGGCGAAGTCGTCCAACGAATCCGGGGGAATATCCAGGCTTGTGAAGTGAAATTTCTGGCGTTTGTCCCACATGGTCATTAAGCATATGTCGTAGCTTACCGGCCAGTGAGCAATGGCAGTTGGTACGGCTGCCACAACGGCGGGCCTAAGGCATGAATCGTAAAACAGCATCATTTCCTCCTTGGTAATGCGATGAGTCTCTCCTGCTTTGTACATGCGAGGAAAGCAAACTAGCGTCTTCTGGCGGCGACTGGCGGTGGAAAGACATAGATTTGGGATTTTGTGGATTTCAACCCGGCGTGCATTGTCCCAGTTCTTACATGTTTTGCGTTTCGTCAAACAGCAGGATCCAGCACTCTAACGATCACTCACAGGATTAAGAATCCTTTTGCTGAGGTGATTTGTCTTCGTCAAGCTGTCTCTGAAGTTCGCCACTGGATAAATCGACAGGGGAGCTTGAAAGGGTAGCGTCGTTGTAATTCCAATAACCGAGTCGAAATCTCTGGTGACTTCGACCGTGTCAATATCGGCAGGAGAGACACAGTCCTTGAAGACGTCCATGTCCAGACATATTTGTCCCCCATCTCTCAGTTCTCGTCCAGCAAGCACTAGGTTCACAAAATCCGGAATTCTCAGTCCGCCGCTTAATGTCCTGCTCGCAAGATCCACGAATTCTTGAATGGACAACGTGTCCGTGGGTAGTTGCTCGTCGGGATATGGAGGCATTTGAAGAGTACGTGGCAGTCTGAGGCGTAGGATCACTGAAATATATACTCGCCCGGCAACCGCACTGCGGTGGCGTTGTTTTGGTTTCGGAACGCCACTCCTGCATTTCTACTAGGCCAGATGTGGTCGCCAGCAGCGGCTGCTGCATTGCGACATGTCAAGACTGCCTGTTATTCAGCCGCCACCAGCAATTGTGCACAGCTGGTACGGGCGGACAATGATATCGATTACGCGAGCAGTCATTGGATATTAAGTCGGGTACTGCGCACTTGACACTGTTTAAAACAACCGGACGAGCAGCACCTTTGCGCGAAGTATTGAAACGCGCCGCAGCCGCCACTGGCGGGCAGCATTCCGGACCTCAGTATCAGCCACGACGCATCTCGCGCATGTGCCCAATGTCGTCATCACATCGCACCTGCCACTGGCGGCCAGTATGGCAAGCCTCCGGCACTCTCTGCTCGTGAACTGACTACGCGGGCACATCACGGCCGCTATCGGCGAGCAATGGTTAAATGTTCAAAATGCTCCGCTTTGAAAATGCCGCAGTCCCAGCACATTACGGCCGCTAATGGCGAGCACATGCAGGAGTAAAGCTTGGTGTGCTCTGAGTAAATGTCTCTTGTCCAGAGTATTCGCCGTTGGGAGCCATTTTATTGGAATTGATATCGAAACACCGCTTGACCTTAGCAACAACATAAATAAGGTCAGCCGTCCGAACGACAGCCGCCAGTGGCGACCATTCGCTGTGGGCTCTTTGTATGATACATCGTACATCTACACAATATAAGCCTAGTTTGTGGATGAGGATCAGACCCACAAATATGCAGTTGCACGCACCCTACAATCGATGTCATCGTCTCAGAGCGAATCGATTTAAATTCTCTAGTCCTCGTATGTATCGTGGATTCGCCGCAATGTAAGGGCTTGATCCACAATCTTCATAAGGAAGTGCACGGGTCATGTTCTGAGTTTCTTTTCGTGTCGTCCACATCGATCCCTTCTCCGTTCGAGGAAGCCATAAAAATTTGGCCACCTCGCTTCTCATCTCTGCCGTCACTTGAAAGGCATCCCATTCGTCCAGCCGATTGAGCAATTCGGTCCAAGCTCTGAAGTAGGTGCAACCTGGGTATCCGTTGGAAGTTGAACTTGCCATGTTCCCTTTGGATGGAAATAAGTGGCTGATGTTCTTCTCCCAAGCTTCGGGTTGACACAAAACTACCCGGGCCGATATTAACGGCAAGATTGGGTGGAAGTAGTAGTCAGGAGTAACTGAAGCCAGTTCGGCGGAGCGAAGAGTGATATAAGTCCCCCCTTTCAACTTGTTTGGGGACTTCATCATGAGGTCGTGGGCAAATTGGCGATAGAGCCGGTTGAGTACGTCAATAAGGCTGCCTTGCAAAACCTCATTGACTCGGTCGTAACTGTTGCCCGGCCCACGAATGTCTGGACCTGTCTGTACGACGGGCCTATGGATTTGAATGTTCAGCGCGGTGATGTTGTTGAAATCTCTTGGAGAAGCTCGAGGTCTTCTTGAAGTCGCATCAACAAGGGTGGTACATCCTCCTTTGTACAAGCGGTAATTGGCACTAGGGTTGAGTTTGACCAACCTCGTCCAATGTGAGCCGAGTCCAAAGTGAGAACGTAAGTGGCTCATCGATTTTTGTTGATATATGGCGACCAAAGTGTCTTCGTCAACTTCGACTCGTGAATGAATCCGATAGATGTGTGGCCCCTCCATGTTCTCAAAAACGTTCTTGATTGTATCTGCCACGAAGTAGGCTCCTCGGTCTTCAATCCATGATTTGAAGTGTCCACCGTTGTAGCCCCATTCTGCTTCCTCCTCATTGTTCGCTTCAGGAACAATAAAGTACGCCATTTGCTGTAGAAGTTCTTGCATCATGGAACTCTCCAACTGCGAAATGATGCAGCTATTGAGGATGCTAACACAAGCAGCGTTGAAGGCTAGTACTTCTTCCCAGAGACAAGCGTCGGGTGGGGCCAGCTGGAGCCTTTTCAAGACACGCCGTACAGCGTTAATTCTAGTTGCGCGGAAATTCCTTGTGCAAATTTATTAGTAAGCTAACGATTCAATGTTCACATAACAATGATTGCTTACCACCAAGCTTTTCGTGGCAGCAAATATAGCAGCTCCGATGTTGCTGGAAAAGCTTTCAAAGCGTCCTGCATTTCATAGAGCTTGACATGAACTGCAAGTGTGGCTGAAACATCTCCTGCAGCTTCTCCAGCCAGTTTAAAGCACTGTGACTCAGCCGCCAAAGTCTTCTGTAGGAGCGTGCGTAGATTTCCCGGCAAGGTATCAGCTGGTGTGATGACCTTCCAGCCTGGTCGCCGTTCGCTTTGATTGCGAAAGTGATTTCGGAGCTCGATGTAAGAATATAATGCTTTCGCCGATGAGATGTCGAGTGTAGTGTCGCCTAGTACTCCGGTAATGGCTGCCTGTTTTGACTGTCTCCTCTCAGATAGCTCCTCTCGGACTGCCTCCTCTACATCAGGAAGTAAACTGTCGAGGCATTGTGCAACTGCCTGAGGTTGCCAAACCAGTGCTGCGTTGTCTTGGCCAAACTGAACTGAGATTCTTGCCATCCAACCTGCAAAGTTGTCCTCAGTTTGCAGCATCTCCAAAGTGTCTCTGACCTCATTCCAATTAGCCCGTCTGGCGGCTGAGTTGCGGGGGTCGTGGCCTGCCGGAGTTGCTTTAGAGCTGAGGTGGTACACAAAGAAGCTCTGGCGGAATCGAACGTCATTGTCTAATGCGGCTCGCAGCTCTTGTGGAAAGATTCCACTTGAGTAGACGCCGACACGAGCTGGGGATGCGAATCGCCTAAGTTCCCGAGATGACATGGAAAGGAAGTCAAAAAGAGTGGCAGGTTGTTCCATAGGATCTTCATTACCGCCTCCTAAGCCATTGTTCAGGTCCACTCCGCTTGTTGCCATGGCAGCCAGGACAGCTTGGTGAATGTCCCAGATGTCAGGGAGTAGGAGCTGCGGAGAGCAACCTTTGTAGTATAGCTCGGGTAAGCACAACCACGCTGTGAGGCGGTCAGCGAACCCGAGCTTAACATGTGGAATTTCGTGAACCGGAATATTCTCAAAAGATCCGCCCTGCATTGACTGTTAGATTTATACATAAACTTCTCAAGCACTTACGGCCGAAATAAAGTCCTTTTTGAGATGAAGAACATTGATCATGACATCAGTGGTGATCGGTGGACATCTGAATATGCGCCTTAGGGTTTAGGGTTTAGGGTTTAGGGTTTAGGGTTTAGGGTTTAGGGTTTAGGGTTTAGGGTTTAGGGTTTAGGGTTTAGGGTTTAGGGTTTAGGGTTTAGGGTTTAGGGTTTAGGGTTTAGGGTTTAGGGTTTAGGGTTTAGGGTTTAGGGTTTAGGGTTTAGGGTTTAGGGTTTA